GATCTGCTCAGGTCCCTTCTGACCCTACTAACTGTGAAACTATGGGGAGCATGGTCATGCTTGAAAATGGTCTGCCTGTATCTGCAGCACTAGACAGGCTGGCAAGTTGGGCGGATTGGAACCAAATGAGGTTCAACATGAACAATCCCCAACATACCCTAACCCCTGCCACATTTTCATCATTTTGTGATGTTGAAAGGCATCTGGAACACTTATCACTTTCAACTGATGATCATCCTTCTTTAAACTGACTACACCATTCAAAAACTTGCGCGGCTCATAGTGTCATCATCAAATGCTATTTTAAGTAATTCAGCTGTTTCACTTGCCATTTTCCCAATTTTTCATGCAAAATTTAATGCACATGTTCTGGACACTGACATAATGAAAGAGGGCACAAGACACAAACGATCTTAGTTCAACCGCTGGCCACAGAAAACTGGGGAAACACTATGAGCTACAAACCTGTCCAGAGGAGTCCCAACATGCCCAGACATGGTCAGCAAAGCCATGCCCCCCACCCAATGCTTTGTACCAAAAATACATGTTCAGTGTCGATACTTTTTGAAGAGACCTTGTACTTCCAGGCTCAGTGGCACCATACTGACTAGCACCATGACTGAAAGGGACCTAGTGGTAATAATAGGCCATAGTATGAGTATAAGCTGTCAGTACAATGTTGTAGCCAGCAGGGCAAACTATACTCTGGCATGCATCAATCAATGCATCTCAAGCAAAACTAAGGAAGTGATTCTTCCACTTTACTTGGCATTGGTGAGACCACAGCTGAAATACTGTGTCCAGTTCTGGGCATCACACTCTAACGAGGACATGGAAAAGATTGAGAGAGTCCAGAGAAGAGCCACCCGTATGATCAGAGACTTGCAAGGCAAGCCACATGAGGGAAGGCTGCAGGACTTGGGTCTCTTCAGCCTGAAAAAGAGAAGGCTGAGAAGGGACTTGGTAGCAGCTTACTGCTGTATCAGGGGAGTAAATCAAGGGCTCAGCAAACAGCTGTTCACTGGGGCACCCTTGGGGAAAACCAGGAGTAATGGCCACAAACTTCTGGAAGACCATTTTAAGCTTAACACTAGGAAAAACTTCTTCAGTCAGGGTGTCCAGACTGTGGAATAAGCTCCCTCCAGGGGTGGTGCAGTCACCTACCCTGGAAATCTTCAAGTGGAGACTGGATGGTCATCTTGCTGAGGTCACCTGACCCCAGTTGTCTCTTTCCTGCCTAGTGCGGGGTGGGGTGGACCCGATAATCTTGCGAGGTCCCTTCCAGCCCCTTACAATCTCTGAATCTATCTATGAATTCAATTTGCCCACACTGCAGTTTCCAAATCTAGTCAAATCATTTATAGATTTCACATGGTTTTAGCCTGATTTATGGATAAGAAATTATTAAATAAGTGCAAATATGTAAAATGAGAGAAATCCTAAAGGATATTTAATTGTTTTTGCCCTTGGTGTCAGAAAGTTCTTTGCTTTTGCGCACACACTCGCATCAGTTATAAGCTCCACCCCTAGCATATAAGATTGATAAGATATCCTATAAATTTAGCTCTTTGCCACAGTTGACTGCCATGGTGGAGAAGGGGACTAGGGTTCCCACTAGGATGCTGTCCTTGAACCCTGTTTAGGAGTTTCATCCTCAATACCTGATTCTATCTAGTGAGCATCTGATACATTCAAAGCCTCTTCAGCCTTTCTCCCATTTCTGGGAGAGGAAAGCATTGAAAGCTTTTGGACTGCTGCGAAGGAAGTGTGGTTCCACACTGCTATCCTCTCCTCCAGCTTGCTTAGATGCTGCAAGAAAGGGTGAGGTGAAAGGCAGCTCTACAATTAAACCCAACTTTCAGAGGAACTTCCCTGGGGAGTCTGTTAATCTGCCTCACTGTTCCAACAATAAGGAAGATGTTCCTGACACCTAATCTATAGCTTCTATAGATGTGACTTGCCAGAACTAGCCATATCCTGGGAAGAATCACCATTCCAAGCTTTCCAGTGATAGGTAGTATTTTTATTTATTTATTACAAATCCTAAGGAGCACTGACCATTTACCTTGACACTGCTGACACTCTGCCATATACAAAAGCTACTTTAGGTAATTTTCTGATGTCCTAAAAAACATTGGTATTGGTAGTCTTCTTATTACTGTTAACTAAGACATCCTGACAGTATGAAAATTAGTACCTGTATAGTGGTTGAAAGCCTTGACCCTCTCATAAAATCACAAGTTGCCAACACAGCATCCTGCAGAGAGATGTAAAACAAAGATTCCAACCTAATTGTGTGTGATGGACAGTAACTTAAATGAAAGATCACCATAAATGTAAAAACAGTTGTTTTGTACTTAAAATCCTCCAGCCATGCACATAACATGTAGAACATGCTCAACTAAAAAATAGTAATAATAATAGGGATGTTGTGGAACAGTTTAGTGACTTGTTAAAAGACCATTATAATGAGAAGCCTGCTCAATGCTGAGAGAGGGGCCACGTAGAGGAAAGGAAAAATGTGCACGTCCAGCCCTGGCAGGAGATCAGGAAGCAGAAGAAGAGCCAAAACATGGGGGAAAGAACCCTTTATACTGATTAAAGAGGAAACTGCTAATTAAGGTCTGTGTTTTCCTTTTATTGTTCTTCCCTCATACTAGAAGTTACTTGCTACTGGTGGGCTTTATTTATTTCTTTATTAAAAATATTGATGAGAACTTGGTTCTGACTCCAGATGCTGCCCTGGGAGGAGTGGAGGGAGGAAGGGTTACAGCTCTCAGGAAAAGGGGTCACACAAGTGCTGATAGGATATAGTGTTTTCATTGTTTTCTCTTTCATCTTGCCCTTAACTGTGGCCACGGCCCTCCTATAGCTGTTTCCAGAATAAATGTCAAATTAAAATTAATACACACACATTCATCTGTTGCCTACTCCTGGCAAGGCTAGTGGAGTGGGAGAGGAGACATGGTGGAAGGAGAGGGATTGAATGGGAGCATGGAGAAGGGAAGTGCAGTGGACTGAGAGGGACATGGAATGAGGGACCTAGAACAGTGCTATGCATGAGGAAGGGGAACGGTCTGAGGAAGACGAGGGGAGGAAGCAAGGGGCTGGCAGAACTTAGATTGGGGTGGAGGTTGAGATGAGAATCATGAAAGTGGTGGGTGCTGGAATTCATGGGGTTGGGGGAGTTTCAGGGAATTTGAACAATGGGTTGTAAGAAAATGGCCAGCAAAGGCACGGCTGCTTACACCTGTTACATTTTAAAGCTTGACATTATCTAACTAGATTCTCCCATCTCTGTCAAATTAAAAGCAGACTACTTCAAGGGGCCTGAAATCTCTCATAGCAAGACCCCTGCTCCATAGACCTACTTTTACATTTTTGTTTATTCCAAACACTGGAAAATTAATTTAAAATATTTTAAAAAGAAAACTTTTCAGGGTTTAGCTCCATAGTAGTATTATAATACTTCTCACTTGATGGGAGGGAAAAACTTAGTAGAAATTTTACAAAGAAAGCAATATGATTTGGGAGCTATGGCTTTGCTGAATCAAATTTTTGCAGTGAAGAAATCAATTTTTGTTTTACTGAATTGTGCAGGCGCTCTGCTGTGTAATTCCACCTCTTCGTTCTTCTGTATGTGGATGCAGCGTATCTTTTCTTATCCATAGGTGTCCTGGAGCTTCGCATCGAAGGGTTGCACTGGAGAGAAGGAAGATGAGCAAACCACAGTCAGAAGCTGAGAGTGAAAATGGGCATTGTGTAACAGATTGCCTGGGCACCGTCTCCCCTGATGCAGACCAGACTGGGACAGGACCAGTGCCAGTGGAACAGAACTTTACATCCACTGCTCTTCCTCTGTGGACAGATGAACCTGGCCTTGACAACCCTGCTTATGAAGAGAGTGCCATGACTGACAGTATGTCAAGCTTATCTTTTTTAATTTCCTGTCCAGATCAAGCCTAGAAATTTCCAAATAAGCTTCTCCTGTAAATAATTAATGATTTCCACATCTCCGGTTATGTATGTCCACTAGTAATTCTTAATTTACTGTGGTGGCATCATGGTGCTATACCACAAATCCACCAGGCCCTGTAGTTCATGTTAATCACCCTACTAGGATTATTGATGTGGTAGCTGCATTGAGGCAATGCGTTTTCTGTAGAATTGCTAAAGCCAGTTTCTAAGATGAGATTTTTCTTTTCCCCTCCTGGATCAACAGGCTTCCCACCTATGGAGCATTGTCCTGTTCGAACGAAAAGGCAACTGAGTAACTCCTGCATTCATCTGCATCAAACTAACAGTAACCCCTCTAGCATCTGGGATTTTAGAGAGGAAATGCTCAGCCATACCACAGAGGAAGGTGGTTCTTCCCCTTCCTTTTCCTGTTGTAGCCTATGCCCCCCACCATTTGTTAGCATCCTCCTCTTTTATATTAGTTGTCTCTGTGTGTTGTGTTTGGAGATGCTTGCTACTACCCTTGACCTGGTAAATTGACAGCAGCTATTAATTTAGTTGTTAATGTAACAGCCAGTTAAGGAAGAAGGCTAAAGACTGTTTCAGTGGCTTGGGACAGGCCCTAGGTGTTGTTTCTATTTTCTCTTATCACTTTATATTGAACTTTTGATACTTGCAAAGGCTAACCGAGAAGAAAATGTTGGGAAAAGCAGATAACTATTTTTAAAGGGCAGGTCCCTTAGGGGTCAGAATTTCCTCTTTCTTTTAAAGTAATACTTAACTTTCTGAATGGTGTGGGCCCTGTTAAATGTCTCAAGGTATTTTATACTAAGTAGCTATTCCAGAAAACAATGGAGGCAATCCAATTTTTGTTTGTCGTCTAGTGTTGCCTATATTGTCATGCAGGAATTTGCTGTGTTGAAAATGTGTTGAAATACAAAGGTTCATCTTGTTTTGTTTTTTTTAACCTGGCAGCAACCCAGCCGCTACCTAGCTTGCCTGAAGGAGAGATCACTACAATTGAAATTCACCGGTCCAATCCTTATATTGAGCTGGGCATTAGCATAGTGGGTGGCAATGAAACGCCATTGATCAACATTGTTATTCAGGAGGTGTACCGAGATGGGATCATTGCCCGAGATGGAAGGCTCCTTGCTGGAGACCAGATACTTCAAGTATGGAATCTAATTAAATACTCTCTCTACTTGTATGCACTCAGTCATTGCAGAACTGTATGTTAAATGACTTGGGAGATGTTCTTCTGGCAGTCCGTGGTGTGTAAATGTTAGCTTTGCAATGATTAGTTGGAAAACAAATTATTATTCAGAGCAGAGTCTGTTATTCCAGTACTGATGCCAATGATTTACGTAGTTTATGGAACCCAGCCTCCTATAATTATTTCTCTCCTATAGCTTTAAAATGGATAAGACAAACTGAGAGATTTTTTTTTCAAATAATGTGGGGTTCTTTCCTTTTTTGAGCTTTATGCACACTCCAAAAAAACAGATTATTTTTGGCCAAGAAGTTAGTGTAACAGGTTGCCAGGGGCTCCTCATTACTTTGAGGGAGAAACAGCAGGAGACAACAGCCCAGGTAGAGGAAAACAGAGGCCCTTGAGCTGGCTGCAAGGGAATAGGCAGCCAGGGCCCATAGGCTATGAGTAAGGTCCTACCTAATTCACAGAGGCTGGCTCTGTATTTCATGGTCCCAGCGTGTCAATCTCCAAGGAGGGACAGGACTTCCAGGGCCCCTCGGCCAATCAGAGGCATGGGGGAGGGGGATCCATCACACTCCACCACAAAAATCTCTCCCCTCCTTTCCTTTCCCTCCCCACAATGCTTGAAGATGCCAGGGCTTTCTGCTCTTTTCTTTCTGATGCATTCGCTCTCACTCTCTGTCTCTCTCTCTCTTCTTCTCTTCCTGGTTGTTCCTGACTTGGTGCTTTTTCATGGGAACTGGGATTTTTCATGGGGGACCTACCAAATTTGCAGTGTCTGCAAAAAGTATAAAATCATTAATCTGGTAGGTCCCTAGCTATGATTGCCCTGGTATTTATAATTACATAATTGTATTAATAATACAATAGAGGAGAGCCCTGCTGAGGTGACAGTGGCACTGCTACAAGTGCTAGACTAGAGGCCAGCCAGCAAGCCCCATTAGAAACACCTGCAGGTGGCTGGGGAGCCATGTGACCAGCAGGGACAGTGCTTGGGAGGCGTAGACCCAGGGCTTGAGCCAAGGCAGTCAATCTGGCCCAGCAGGCTGCCGAAGAGGGAGCTCCGCATTGAGAAGACTGACAGCGATTTATTTGGATTTTTTTGGATCTACATGCAATAAAGACTGCAAGTATGGGACTGGTGGCGTGCAGGGTGAAGTCTTATACAGCCAGCAGGCTTGGTGTTTGTGTTGGAGTCAGTGTGCGTATGTTTCCATTATAGTTGCAAACCAGTAGATTGGGCTCAGCTAGCAAAGGGGGGATGAGGAGGCCGCGGTGGGACAGCTGAGGAGTGTACTGCGGTTTGTGTCTGAGAGGCACATGAGGTCTGGAACCCTGCCAGAGGTGGGGCACAGAGCCCAAACAGGCAGTAGCAAGCCTGCGGCCGAGAGGATTGGAACACAAGCCTGAGATGGGTAGAGTCACGGCCAGGAATCCACAGCCCAAGAAGGCAAGAAGCCAGAGAAAATGAATGCCAGGTCCAGGGACTAAAGCCCAGGAAGAGGCGGGAACCCTTAGAAAGCAAGAGCTAGGGCAGGGGCCCAAAGCCCAAAGAAGTGGAAACCAGACTTCAAGGGTGAGACCAGGGCTGAAACCCTGGAGCACTGGGTGGAGGCAGAAAGGGGCCAGTTAGAGAAAGGGGCAGAAGCCAGGAAAGCTACGGCCCTAAGAAGGTTGTAGAGGCCTGAAGTGCTCTGCAGTTGGCTTGAGGGCAGAGTGCCCCACCGAAGTGTGAATCAGTAACATCTGTAAGACCTGGGCATGGCTGTAGGGGGGTCAGAGACCATGAATAGCCCTTAAGGTAGTCAGAGTGCTGGAAGGTGAGAATGGGCCAGGAGGGCCAGAATTAGTGCCTGAGGACAGAACAGAGGCAGGTGGGGTTTGCCAGGTACCAGTAGATTTGAGGAAGGCAAGGACTCACTCTAGGACCCAGGGACAGCCTTTCTTTTTCCTAAATAAAATATTAACAGCACAGTGTGGCAGGCAAGAGCAAAAAGGGATGGTACCCAGAGAGCCACAGATGGGCAGGATTCATGAGGCCAGTCGGAGGCATCATGATTGCTCCTGGGACTCGGTCCTGCTATAGTTAGCATCAGTTGCCCTGTACAATAGACTTGAGTCATGAGCTTGTCTTTCCCTTGCTTGTTATGCTTCCCAGTCTGTTATATCATCTTCACTTGCATGTATCCTTGCATGTCTTATTGGTTTAAAGCAATAGTGATTGTTTAAAAAACAAAAATTTTGTAGATCTATCCTCAATTGGCTTGATTTTTGCTGGCACACTTCTGAATATTATGGTTATTTTTGCTAACATTGTGACCATTATGACTACTTTGGGGGAGGGTTGGGTTGATAAGTTAAAACTGATTATATAAATTCAGAAGACTGAAGAACTGGAAGAAAGTGTTAGCAGCTCAGACCTCTTCGCTTCCAGAGGAGTCATAAAAGAGTTGAAGACTAACATTTTTAAGAAGGTAGAGGCCATAGGAACCTGTGTTCTGCAATAAATTCCTCCTCCTCTCCCACTGTAGACCATTCTCCCTGGTACAGACTTGTTCCATTAGTCATTTCAACTTGACTTTAATAGAATCATTAGTTTAGTCATGTTCCAGTAGACTTGGTAAACTGACCTTACACTGTACACATATATTTTAAGGAGATGGCTAGAAAATGTTTGTTATCCTTTAGATAAAACTAGCTTGTACTTGAGAAAAATCACATCTTTTGATATCAGAGAAACCTACCCTTTCACTCCTTGAATCTTTAGGGGGCTTGACCTTTCAGTGACCCAAAAGCTTGCCCAGATCTTCCTATTTTTGCAGGCAATTGCAGGTATTTATTGGCTGCTCTATCTTGTCACTAATCTTGATATTTAGTGAGAGCCCTTTCAATAATTAGTGGCTGTTCTTGGCTTGCCTGCATAGTGGATCTTTCTCTGAAGCTGTTGAACTTCATTTAATTGGGCAGTTCTCAATTATAGTTCCAAAAAATTGTAAGTAATAATAAAGTGACTTAAAATGAGGGAGACCTTGTAACTAGAGCATGTAAACCCTATCGACCTAGTCATATGGAAGCTAGGCAGATTCCTGGAGCATGTTGAGGAGAGTCCTTTTGCCACTGTTTGGAAATGGATATAGAAGCGACTTGTGGGAGACATTCTCAGCCAGGGTCCCATAGCACCCTGGGGTGCCTTGAAATCCTTTCAAGGGTGCTACAAGGTGCCACACAATGTTAGCACTGTTAAGTGTGCAAATAATGATCCATAAGAAAAACCCAGAGGTTTCAAGTAGAAATCTACAATGTTAAAACCATTCTGTCCTGTTATGGTCTTTCGAAGTTCTTTGCAACAGAAATATTGCTCTATTATTCTTCCATAGTCAAAAAACGAGTGAAAACTGAAAGCTGGCATTTTCCAAGGGGTGCTTCAAGCCTAACAAGAGGTGCCTTGAGTCTAAAAAAAAGTTGAGAACCACTGATATAGAAGATGCGGAGGAGATGAGCCAGGGTCCAAGCAGTAGTGTAGTAAGGCAGGGTCACCAGGGCAACAGCCCCAGGGGAGCACAAAAATAGCAGCTGCTACCACAGCCACATGACTATGCAGGGAACACAGCAGTAGCCAGAGGCTGTCACTGCCTTATGAGTTGCAGCTGCCCTGGGTGCCGAATTGCCTTGTTATGCCTCTGGCTCTGTGGAAGATTTTTGAGCTTTCTTGCATGGATTCGTCCTCTGCAGGTGCTAAGCTAAATCATAGGATTTACTGGGCTTGATCTCTGCAGATCAGAATTAAAAATTGAATTGCATGCAGCTGTATTTGTTTATATTTCGTTTGCATATTTCTGAAGATTTCTTCTGGGAGTCTTTATGCAAGCAGATTAGAGAAGCCAGGAAGGACTGCAAAGTGAACCTTAGCTACTCTTGTTCATCCAAATCAAATTTTTAAAGTTAACTTCCAGCACTTAAATGAAGGGCATCATATTTAATATCCTTGTGCAAAGAGCATGGCAAGTATGTGACTTGACTTGGAATCTTATAGCTTCTAGTCAAACATTTACTATTTACCCTTTTTTGTTAGTTGTACCTTTTTGGTCATAGGATTGGTACAACAAGGAGGTGGTTTTATTTATAGAGACTACAGGATATGACTGTGGCCGTCAGAAATGGATCTGCCACAGAAAATATTCTTGTTGGATCAATGCATATCAAAGTTGAGAGTCAGCAGGACTGCAGTTTGTATAATTTAGAGCAGTGGTCACCAACCCATCGATCCTCATTGACAGGCCAATCCCAGAGCCTCTTTTGGTCGATCCTGGGCGGGGGACAGCTGGGCATGCGTGAATGCACCGGTTAAGAATTATTGAACTTCAGTATTTCCAATTTTATTAACAGACTTTTAAGACTTGAGGCTACTACTTTCCAAATGTGAATGCTTAATGGTAGTCCATTTCCAACTTTAGATGCCCATTTTTGAAAATTATGGATTTAGCTTCACAAATATTTAAGAGCTATTTAATGACTTTGTACCTCACCCAGAAAAAGTCTGAGAAGCTGTTGTATATTACTGCTAATATAAACAATTTCTGTTTCTACTTTTAAAGAAGAGTTATAATGGCCCACTTGAATTGAAGGATGTTGCACTTCATGAGCTCAGTCCAATTCTTCTTCCACTTCGTTGTGCCATGCGCATCTTAAATGGTGAAACAGGAACTACACAAGACAGCAGCAGTAGCCTGAGACTTAAGGGTCCTATCACTTTTTTCCAGGAGAGGAAGAAAATTAATCACTTTGACCCATGCACAAAAACCTTTTCTGTATATTTACGGACTCATTCCCATTCCCTCACGTATTGCTATTCTTGCCTGAAGAAGAATCCCTTACATATGAAAGCTTGTTTAGCTCTATTTCAACTATGCAGTTGGTTCAATAAGAGAGATCACCTAAAGAAATCCTTGCCTGTTGCTGTTCTGACATTTATAACAGCATTCCTGATAGTGAGCCTGATATGTAAAACCCATATGAGATCTTGAAATTCCAAGCTTTGAAATCACTTTTAGAATTAGAAATAATGTCATATAGTTCTCAGTTGCAGGCAAGTAAAATCAGAACCAAACTGAGGTGGATTTAAAAAAAAATATATTGATAACAATTGGATTCAGATGCATTTATTTTAATGTTTTGTATCTTGCAACCCAGGCTTTAAATTATTTGACTCTAGCCCAAACAATTATCATCATTCTGATCAGAAGTGATACCAGTGGTGGTGATTTGTTTCTGTCTTTAATTCTTCACCCTTCATTAGAGTTCCTAAACTGGTTTGGGACTTAAAATAGGAAGTCCTGGACATGAGTCCAAACCAGCATCTATCTCTGCTTTCTTATGTAAATACGAGGCTGGTTTCTTATTCACAGTTCTGGGCCTGAGTTGTAAGACTGCAAATTAAAGCTGCAAGTCTGTACAGTGAACAGCCTGCACTGCAAGTGCTATTCTATGGGGCACATTAAACGATACAGTACAGTTTAAATGGGGAATTGTCATTGAGCAGATGTGTTCATGGCCTCGCAATATTTAAGTCATCATTGTCATCATCTCACTTGTACATGACACCTGATTTGGGAGAGTTGTAAATAATATAGAAACTAGGTCAGAGCAGTCTAGATTTGTTGGGTAAACTGAACTCAAACAAGTAATGTGAGCTTTAATATGGCCAAACAATGGACCTGTTCTGGGAAACAATGATTCTGAAAAGGACTTGGGACCTTGTAAAGGACCATCTGTATGAGCATGGTGCTTTCTGGTTTTTAAACCATGAATATGGGTATAATATAAAATGCACTAATATATGAAAAAGGAAATAGCATAAACATGGGTTGTGAACATAAGTTACCCAGTCACTAAAATCAGGACAATCTGAGAACCATTAGTTCTGTAGCATTGCACGTGCTACATGCCACGTTTCTTGATTTAGTGTGACGCTCAGCCACTCTGGTAGTCAGCCTAGTTGAGTACCTGAACCGTTAGCTCAGTAACTGTTGCCTGTCATGCTAACCATTTTTTTGTATTTTCCTCTGTTGCCTTCTAGATTTAAACCAGTAGTGCCCAATCTTTTGGGCCCACAAGCCAAATGAATGGTGCAGGGCCAGTCTACGGGCTGGATCAGACTCTGTGCCACCCATCCTTGCATACCTTGGCATCATGGGATTGGGCCCAACACTACCCTGTGTGCTTTATCTTGCATGTTGGGCCGTGTTACCTGGCCCATGGGGCTCCCCACAAGTCTAGAAATTTAATAGCAGGGGAGCGGCAATTAATACTGTCACCACTCCCCTGCCATCAAATTTTCAGACCCATGGGGGGACCCACAAGCCAGGTGACATGACTCGGGGAACTGGACCACAGAATGTCAGAATGTTTTTGAAGCTATGAATTCCTGTGTGAAATCTTACTGTTTACCTTGTGAATCCTGCATAGGTGTCTGCACACCTAGTAGTACTATATGGAACTCTGCAGCACCCTTAAAAGGATTGCAAGTCATCTCAGGGTGCCACAACATGCTGATGGATAACCACTACTTTAAAGCAGTTTGTACACGTGTTTTTTCAAAGCTTTTATTTTTAAGTTGCAACAGAAATCCTGGCTCTGTAAACAGTTGAACACATTTTGCATTGGAGATTTTGCTGTTGGGATTTTTTAACATTAAGGATCTATTTTTGAATCCTATTGTTGTGTTCAGCTCCTGCACTGAAGAGAAACCATGTAAAATATAAGGAAAAGTAGATACAAATATAGTGAAACTGTGGGGGTGGTAGTGGGTAGGTAGTGGATTTTTTAAATAACTGCAGTGAAGATGGTATCATGTTGATTTGAGTTGGTTTTGCTGAAGTGGGTTTTCAGAAGAGAACTGAATGCATAATGGCATAAGTAGGTCATCCCAGGTAGTGGCTGTGTGTGGTTTGTAATGGGGTTGTTAGAATGCTAGCTTTGCAGGGATTTTAATGATATATCCAGAAACAAAAAAATGCAAATGACAATTGTTCTAATTCCTGTTTTCCAGGTTAACAACTTTGACATCAGCAATGTGTCACACAACCGTGCTCGTGCTGTCCTTTCCCAGCCTTGTGTGGTGCTGCACCTCACCGTGCTCAGAGAGAGGCGCTTTGGAAGCCGTAATCACAACCACACTGACAGCAGCACCTCCCAGAGAGAGGACAGCTTCCAGGTGACACTGCATAAGCGTGACTGTAGTGAACAGCTTGGCATTAAACTAGTACGGAGAACAGATGAGCCTGGAGTTTTTATTCTCGACCTTTTGGAAGGGGGATTGGCTGCTCAAGATGGCCGACTCTGCAGCAATGACCGAGTCCTTGCAATCAATGGACATGATCTGAAGCATGGGACACCTGAACTTGCTGCCCAGATTATCCAGGTAAATTGTATTCCCCACCTGGCAGGCCTTCTTTCTACATGAAACTGTAAACGCCTTGATAGGTTTTAAAAAAAATTGCAGATATAGCCAGAAGTCACTGAAGAACTATGGCATGTTGCAAGATAAAACAACTTGTGTATTGTGCCCATGCACGATAGTGATTCCAGCTCTTGTTGTTTACTATTGATTTTAGTGCATGATACATTAGACACCTGCCCCTTTGGCATCTGGGGATTGAATGCAAGTGAGCAGGCATGTCTCTCATTGCTTGCTTGCTCAAGGTAACAGGAGCAAGGTGAGCGCAGCTGAGCCTATTGTCTGAAACAAGAAATAAAAGAAAGTCAGAATCATGTTTTGTACATATTGCCCTTCTTCCTTCAAGCTCTGACAAAGCTTATGAAAGTGGACATTATGTTTTGTTTCATTGCACAAAACTGGGGATTGAAAAGGGAATATGACTTGCCCAAATTTACATACTAGTTAGTAGAGCTGGGAATAGCAAACAGGACTCCTGATTCCTCCTCATGGTTCATAATGTCATGTGAACTGTAGTGTTTTCCTTGTGTACATGTATCCCTCAGGCTAGTGGAGAGAGGGTGAATTTAACAATCTGCAGACCAGTGAAATCACAGACCGTCAGTATTCTTCGAGAAGCAGGGACTTATGCCAGCAGCCAGCACCAGTCCCAACAGCTGTTTCATAGCAGACCCAGTTCACATAAGGTTGGTGCTTTTTTTCTGTGCCTTAATAGGAAGTACAATAAGGCTTTAGTGTTGTTCACATTTATTGACTACAGCAGCAAATGTGGGGCTTCTACCTGAGGCAAAATTGTAACTTAAGGGTATGAAAAAGGGGGAAGTATAGTGTTACTGTGTAGGAAGATTGCATCCAGGTGACCCTCTGCTTTTCTGCTAAGCAAGCCACTGGACAGCAAGTACCTCAGATTCAGTGTATAATTCTCAAACCTGTGAACAGACTATGGTTCTTAGGAAAGAGTTACTCTGCAGGAGTCACTGCAAAGCTATCATATACTTTATATTTTGCCTGGTAGGGGTAAAAGCAGAATGTGAATGAAGGTTTGCATGAATCTAATCAAAAGTTGAGTAGACCTACTATAAACTTATAGTATTGGTAAGAGCCAGTGTTTTCAATGTTTGATAGTTCCAAAAATTCAGCTTTGGTTCTTCAAATTCCCTACATCATATATTCTTCCTGAGTGCTGAGCTGTAATAGACCGTCTTCATTTCCCTTTTCAATAAACCCATGCTGTGTGGCTCGCAACTCAGTGCCACACTTTTAAGTTTTGAGGACTTCTGAGCATTTCTTTTCCCCTTTCTGGGTTTTCTTCGAAAGTTTCAGGTTTCAGAAAAGGGCAGGGTGAGTGTCGCCATGTAGGTCATCTCCACTCCCCTCTTATCTAAGGATAATTGAGAGTTGATTCTCAGATTTGCTGGCTGAAAGAAAGCCATTTGTATAGTTGTACATCACCAGTAAGTCAATGGCTACAAAACCTGAAGGAATTAAATATGAGCTGCCTTTATCTGGTACAGCGCACATCCCAGTAGTATATACAGTATGGCAGTATGCCAGCTGATCTGTTATACTAAACATTGTCTGACATGCTAGAATACAAAAATATAGTACTGCATTGTTCCACGTGGAAGGGGGGACAGTGACGTAATTGCAGTTGGAAGGCGCTTATATAATTTCTTTTCTGTTATTTTAACTTCCATCTAAACCTCCAGTAGACTGGAGATGATCAGCAAAGGTGAATGTGGAATCCTTTGAAATTATCACTAAATATCCAGGGGACATGGGCTTAAGTAAATACAGTGCATCTTAATTCATGTTGAAACCCTCCTGGTGGCATGAAGCCCAGCTCAGGTAAGCTGGATTCCTGATCATCAAAGGCTTAATAAACATGAAATATTCTCACTTTCACTTCAGGTGTGGAATTGTCATTAAAATCAGCAGGGGACTACATTAAAGAATCCGTTACCAGAATACACCCCCAGGAGGTGGGGAGGGAAACTCATTTCTTCTTTTTATATTCTAAAGAGATTCTGAAAACAGGCTGCAAAGGCAAAAGAAAAAAAATGCATAGAAAACAAATGCACTGTTTTAAAGGGGTATCTCTTCACATGGCCCTTAAGATCCAACATATATGCACTTTCATTTCCTATTGGTCCTACAGAAGGCCTGTGGCCCATACTCTGCTTACAGAATGATGCACTTAATAACTGTGACTTTCACCAAAATTACAACAGTCCTAGGTTACGCAGTACCATCATGCCAGCTATTTGTACAAATAGGTTTTGGTAGCACTGCTCAAATGTGAGTGGCATTGCATAGTGTAGGTGTTACCCCCTTCTCCCACCCTGCCTAAGGACATCTTGAAAAAATCAAGGGGGAGCTTTAAAAAAACAAGTGGGGGGGTGCTTTAATGTATTCCTAATTCATATTTAGATACCTAAATAAACAGCTTGATTTTTCAAAACTACTAAATATCAGTAGACTTTACTGAGTTTATTTAGAACCTACAGTTCCTACTAAGTTTGAAACCCAAGCTATTTTGTTGAAGTACCTAACTATAGACTAGGGGAGTTTATACACATGCTCCAGAAGGCGGGGCAGGGAGGCGCTTTAATTAGAGTGTCTCTGCTCTAATTAAATTGCTGGGAGTGTGACATGTATCGGCATCCCTGTGCTGAAAAATGGTGGTGAAGGCTTTAGTTAAAGCCATTTTCAGCTCAGAGATACTGATGCACATAACACTGGAGTCTGCTGGAGTTTCATATTTTCATGGTTTCTAGAGTCAGTAGGGACCTGAACAGATCATCAAGTCCAACCCCCTGCCATGGGCAGGAACAAGTGCTGGGATCTTAAGACCCCAGCCAGATATCTATCCAATCTCCTCTTGAAGACCCCCAAGGTAGAGGAGAGCACCGCCTCCCTTGGGAACCCATTCCAGAGCTTGGCAGCCCTAACCGTAAAGTAATGCCTCCTGATATCAAGCCTGAACCTGCTCTCAATCAATTTGTGGCTGTTATTCATTGTTATCTCAGGTGGTGCCCGGGGGACAGAGCCTCACCTATTTTCCGCTGGTCCCCCCCCGGTGAGTTTATAGACAACTACCAGATCCCCTCTCAGTCTTCTCTTGTGGAGGCTGAATAGATTCAGACCCTTTAGTCTATCTTCATAGGGCCCGGTTTGCTGTCCCAACCATGCAAGTGGCCCTGTCAAGGCTAGCCACATCCTTCTTGAAGTGCAGTGCCCAGAACTGGACACAGTACTCCAACTGAGGCCTGACCAGTGCCACACAGAGGGGAAGGATCACCTCCCTGGACCTGCTTGCAATGCATCTGTAGGTGCACAACAAGGCGTGGTTAGCCTTCCTGACCACTTCCTGACATTGGCGACTCATGTTCATCCTGGAGTCAACAATGAATCCAAGATACCTTTCTGCCACCATCTGGACAAGAAAGGTGTTCTCCATCCTATAGGTGTGTTCCTTCTCCCTAGATGCAGCACCTTGCATTTGTCTGCATTGAATTCCATTCTGTTCTCATCCGTCCACCTCTGTAACCTGTCTAGATCTAGTTGGATTCTGCCCCGCCCCCCTTCAAGTGTTCCCACTTCTCCCTACATCTTTGTGTCATCAGCGAATTTGGACAGTGTGCTTTCCAAACCCACCTCCAAGTTGCTGATTAAGATGTTGAATTACACAAGCCCGAGGACTGAGCCCTGGGGAACTCCACTACCCACACCCCTCCAGGTCGAACATACCTGTCCACCACCACTCTCTGTGTGAGACCCTTGAGCCAATTTGCCACCCATCTGACTGTAGGTATCAATGCTGCAGTCACCTAGTTTTTTTAATGAGAATGGGGTGAGAAACTATGTCAAAGGCCTTCTTGAAGTCCAGGAACACGACATCCACCTCAATGCCACAATTCAGCAGACTCAGTTAATCAAGTCTGCTTCAACATGTCGGGGCAGCCTCGATGTCCGTGTATAGGCACCTTAGGATCCTATTATGCCCCTCCCTCCCCCCCCGGGCTCCTCTTTAAAAATTAATTTTAACGATATTTTGTTATCTTCTTGTAGGACCTTTCACAGTGTGTTACATGCCAAGAAAAGCACATTACCGTGAAAAAAGAACCACATGAATCCCTTGGGATGACAGTGGCAGGAGGCAGAGGCAGCAAAAGTGGTGAATTGCCAATCTTTGTCACTAGCGTGCAACCCCAGGGCTGTCTTGCAAGAGATGGCCGGATCAAACGAGGTAGGGTTTGGTTCTAAGTGGGGCATCTGTATTATTCAGTTCTTCTGTGGATGACCTTGTTGTCTACATGGAGATGGTATCAGAGCTTCTAAAAGCACTGACAGATGATTCTCTCAGATCTCACAAACTGGAATGAAGCATATACTACCATGCTTCCCCCAGGTTAGGAAATGGATGTTTAGACAAAAATGGGTAGGGTAGCTTGATGAGATCAGGAAATCATGGGTTATAAGTGGAGGATCTGATCTTGCACTTTGTTTTAGCGCACATACCCTGTTTTGGTGTTTGACTCTTTTTTCCATAGGCTGGGCCCAGCATTTGAGGAGCTATCTCTCCCCATGTGTGATATATGAACAGTTGGGTTGAGGGAAGAAAAGGAACACTTTTTATTATGGAAAAAATGGGAATAAAATCCTCTGTGGTGACCAAAATCACCCAGGGGAAGTGATGGGAAAGATTCGGTGGTCAGGCACATGGACTTGAACCAAGCCCTGGAGGATGTGCTGTGGAGAGCAGTGCTGCAGTGGCATTAGGGTCTTTTTTCTAGAGCATGCAGTGGAGAAGTGTGGATCACAAGTAGCACAGGTAGCTTCTGTGCATTTTACACACAGTTTGGGGAGCGAGCAGGGAATATAGCAGTAGATAGAGGATCAGAAGGCGGAGCAAGGAATCAGCTAGAGAGCACAGGGCAGGGAGTAGAAAGCAAAACAATAGATTGAGCAGGAGACAGGAATTGGAGCAGGCCTAGGAGGGTGCAGGTCTAACCTTGTGGCACAGCTGCCAGAAAAATTGGCTTCCACTGTTTTACAATGTTGATGTTTAAACAGTAGTTATGAGGCTTCCCTGTTAGAAAGTTGCAGTGATCGCTCTGAGAATTATTGGTTCAGACTGTCTTAGGCTTCGAAGATAATCTATTTGAATGAACTGGTGATGGGTGAGAATGCTTTGAGTACTAGCTATGTCTTTTCACAGGAGGATGACTCTGAAAGTCCACATGACCTATGCTCTTGTTTGTGCCTTTAAACAGGTGATGTGCTGCTGAATATTAACGGCATTGATCTGACCAATCTCAGTCACAGTGAGGCAGTAGCCATGCTGAAAGCCAGTGCTGCCTCTTCAGTTGTCTCACTCAAAACGTTAGAGGTCCAGATTGTTGAAGAACAATCCCAGGCTAATGAAGAACAGCCAAGCACAATCAGTGAAAACGAATATGATGCTAGTTGGTCACCATCCTGGGTCATGTGGCTGGGCCTTCCCAGGTACTAATGACTGAATGATGCATTTAAATGCATCTTGCACCTGCTGGCTTTGTTGCTGTTGTAATAATGATGAATTTGTGCTATGTCACTCTCCTAACAGTGTAGTTTACCTGAAAAATATGTGTGCGATCTTCTTAGGGGCTAATGCAACTTACGTTTTGCTTTTTTATATACAAGTTTGGACTGAATAGCAATATTTTCATTTATTTTAATGGTTTCTGCTACTGCACTTCAATTAAATGAAAGTGATAAGGCTACTTTAAGCTTGAAAGCGAAGACCGTGTTAATTACAGCATGTGCTTCACAGTGTAGTTAACAATTGCAGCAACATTCAATTTATAAGGTTTGTATAGAAAAAGTATTCGCTTTGCAAGCTAAAAAAATAGGAAAAACTGGTGATCTCCTCATGTCCCAGTTCCAACTCTCAGCAGAGCCTCTTACTTCTCAAAACTTCCAGCATGGCTATTGCCATATGATGTTATTCTTCATGGTCTGGTAACTGTATGTGCAAATTGTGGACCACATTTTGGTAGCCCTTATTATCATCCATTCCTATTGCCATGCACACTAGTGTAACCTTCAGTCACAAAGTGCATTCATTACCTTGTAAAAGAAGGATTTCCAGGATCTGCCCCAACATTTGCAGATGTTGGCACAGTGAGAATAGAATGTAATGATAGTAGGATGAAACCTGAAGTTAATAGAGCTACGTACAATTACAAGAACTTTTCTTGGTATGAAGCTCTTTAAGAATTAAACCCTCAGTTGTATTCTTTAGGCCTTGCTGTATATTATGTTTGATAAATGCTATTTTACAGGAAAAAAGTTGCAGTTGAGGAATAAATGCCCTGTAAAACTGCTTTCTAGTCTGTTAAATGCCTCCGCTTCACTGAGCTGGAAGTGAACAACTACTGGTTGCTTCTTAATTATGTCTGTATACTACAGTGCATGAATACTTTACAGAAGCCCTGACACAATTTTCTAGTTTTTCTGAACTGAAAAAGGATTTTCTGGCAGAAGAAAAAAGTTCTTTAATTCAGCATTCCTGTGTGCACAAAACGACTTTAACAGAGTGGTGCAGGCTCTTTTTTACCAAACAGCTCTTCTCTGTATGAATTTGAATCATAGGCCTTTGTTTCACTGATGGTTTCTCTGAGTGCCTTGGCTATCACCTCCTACGTCGATTCTGACTCTCGCCTGCCATGTCTTGATGGATTTTGATGTTATTAGTTGGGAGGTATTATTTGCCACAGTAGGCTACTGGCAATCTCTAACCATTTTTATCAGTGGCCCCACCTTTCCACTGTCTTTCTTACCTAACTCACAGATTTAGGTTAATACCCAAACTACAGTCTGCTGTAGTCAAATGATTCTCTTTATTGTCCTTTGCGTTCCTTCACATGCACAACTATCACAAGACTATTATATTTTTTGGTAAAAAAGTTTTTTTAGTCTTTCATAAACACCTTTGGGGCATTCTCTTCTTTATTAGCTTAATCAAACTAACTTTCAAAGCTGTGTCTTAAATTGTCCCAAAATTTTCACTTTCATTTCTACTTCTCCTTTATTTTTGTAAGTACTCACGTGTTCCTCCTTGTTTTATCCTCAAACACTCCCGAGGAGCAGTCAATAACTTCAACAAAATCAAAATCAAAGCCAAGGTCTCCCAACATGTTTGTTGTTTTTCCTTTCTTTCTTTCTCTTTTTGTTTCCAGAGCATCTACCCCCACCTCTGTTTCTCACAGCTTCTCCTCTTCTCCCACTTCTGTTTTTCTTCAGAGCAAATCCTGTTAAAGTTCACTCACGTCCTCCGGAGCCACCCAGATCCCTTCCTTCGTCCAGCCCTCTCTGACATGCTGAACCAACCTCCAGAATCACCCCGACTCCACAATCTTCTCTCTGTTCTCTCCCCCGGAGGAGACGCCTCTCACTCCCGTCTCCTCCTCCGTGCCGCATGGCCCCGCCCCTGGGCTCTTTTATACATGGAGCAGCTGCTTCTGAGTCGCCGCTCTCCCAGCTTGTTTTCTCCACTCCTGCATCCTCATTTTGTTAGTACCTCTTCACACTGACCAAAACATATTTTCACTCCTGTACATATCTAGTCCTCACAGATACTGGGACATGATCTGGATTTTTTTACATTATGCATCATCAGTAAAATTGTCAACTGATTGTAATGAGTATTTCTGGTGATGATATACCAGTAACAGATGGAAAAGAAAACAAGTGAATTTTTAAAGCCTAACTTAATTTTTAAAGCCTAACTTAATAAGCTCTTCCAAATCAGTCTAGTCTTGCAAACTAAGGCCATGAGATAGGGAACCTCTTGGAGATCAAGAACAAAAATGAAACCCCACAATGACATTTTAGAAGTGTCAGTTTCCCAGGCTAACTGATATTTAAGCAATAGCTCCAGCAATACATTATTTGGGAGATTGGGGTGGGGGGCAGCAGGGGCAGGGCTTGCCTTCAGAATTGTGGCAAAGCTAACCACACAATAGTTGAAGTTTTTGAAAATTTCCAGGTGACTTGGTCAGGAAGCACAGTATTAATTACTGTCTTTCTTCTTTTATGACTATTGCAATGATGTGATGTTGTACACAATATAAACCTACTTATGTGTTTTGTGTGCTTTCCCCCTACACACTGCACTTCCCTCCCGTAGCTGCCTGCATAGCTGCCATGACGTAGTGCTGAGGAGAAGCAATCTAGGGAGCTGGGGCTTTAGTATCGTCGGTGGATATGAGGAGAGCCACACAAACCAGCCTTTCTTCATTAAAACCATTGTTCTTGGAACTCCTGCATACTTTGATGGAAGATTAAAGTAAGCCCTAATACAGTTTTTAGAATGATGTTGTAAACAGCTATGCCAACTGATAAAGCTATTTTATGAAGTGATTAATTACATTAATAATCTGTATGACACTGGCTATTGTCCAGGTATTTCTTGGGGGCTGGCCAGCTCCGTCATGTTTGACATCTGTAGTGACTTGTGTGCAGGGAAGTGTGTTAGCTAGTAGGAAGTGATATCAGTCACAGCTCAAGGGAGGATCCAGGTCTAGCACTTCTTGCTCCCCCCACCTTGGTTTGGAAAGGCCTTGGGCACTCAGTTTGTGGTGCTGATTTGACCTACCTTCTGTAGAAAAAGTGAGAGAAGTCTCTTTTCTCCATCTGTAACATGAGTATTTTGCTTGCCTTTTTGTAAAGGCTTTCTAAAATCAGTTGACAAAAAGCCTTTATGAACATGCTCACAGAGCTATCAACATTCAATGCCCAGTTCTTACATACAGCACTTTAATTGGATCCCCGACTCTGGCATTTGGATGCTTTTTTTGTGTGTGTGCGCCTAATTCAGCATCCATCTTTAGATGCAAGATTTGAAACTTCCCTAGTTCATAAGCTGAGCCACATGAAAGCTTGATGACAGAGTCTGAGGCCAGCTGCAGTTGGAAGAATCCGTTTGAGAGAGAATCCTACTTAGGCTTTGCCCTGGAACATGCTATTGGGCTGCAGGGAATCAGTCC